ACACACACACACACACACACACACACACATGTATGAGTTTAGAACTACTTTTAATCTCCTTGGCGCTTGCACATCCTCATGAATATTAACATCGACTCACATTTGTTTAATTAAAGTTCTTGGGTTTTTGTTTTTTAATGACAATACATATAACAACAGGGGTACAGAATTTCGTTTTCTCCATTACAATTGCCTGATTATAGGCCTACATACCGGCGGTAGGTTTTTAAAGTGGAACTATCAGTTCGTGGGATAAATGCCATAAGAGGCTATAAGAACTCTTGTTGTTGTTGCTGTTGTTGTTGTTGTTGTTGTTGTTGTTGTTGTTGTTGTTGTTGTTGCTGTTTTGATTTTTTTTTTGGTTTTTTCTCCAAAACTTTAGGCTTTCTTAGCATTTTGCTAGTAGCTAATTATTTGCGACATTAATTATTACTTCACGATCTTCTGGCCGGGAGAAACGTCACATCTAATTATTTTTTATCTGTGTGCCAGATATATAATACAAATACATACGTTATAAAGACTTCTCCGTCCATTTAGAGATAATTGCTGTCTGTGACTTTTCTTCGCCCCGGCCTTTAATTGTTTTGTTTTGTTTTATTTTGGTAAGTGTTTTACGGCCCTCGCAACTGCTTACTATAATATATATATATATATATATATATATATATATATATATATATATATATATGAGAGAGAGAGCGCTGGACACAACAAACATTTTCAGTTTAGTAGGAATTAATTATAAATAGGCCTACTGCCAGCTCGGCCGAGGCCTACTCGATCTTATCGATTTTGTACCACAAATATAAGGGATCTTAACATTTAATTTGCGCAAATTTTGCACTGGTGGCGGCCGAAACCTCGAGATCGATCTTATCGATTTTGAACTACCAAGGGATCTTAAAATTTAACTTGCGCAACTTGCACCCTGGACCTCCGAGATTCTTCGCCCTTGTCCGAGAAGGCTAGGTACAGTTGGATGTTACGTACTCTAAGATCAACGTGGCTGAAAGACAGCAGGAAGAGCATCAGCCAAAGTAGAAGGAGAAGTAGAAAGAGTCAGGAGTCCAGTGAGTAGGAGAAGCGGGGGGGGGGGGCACATCTGCTCATTACAAATGTTCTTTGCAAGGCCTTTTTTGTCGGTTGGAGGGCGCCAAGACCACACATTGTAGTAGCAAAGTAGAGAATTGTTGGTTGTATGGGTCCTGTAATCCTTATATAATATTGCTTTCTCTGGTTGTTGTTTCGATCTCTGCATGCCTGTCTTATTTTGTCTGCTGCACCGTGGCCGATTATGTTTATTTTATACAGTCCGTGCCGGCTATAAGCACGCCGGCCTTAAGCACGTTTCGGACTCAAGCACGCTAAACGGCTCTTACCGAATTTTTGCTATATAAATTACACGCCTATAAGCACGGTAATTTCGGCTTCAAGCACGCTTCATTTACAAGGCAGTCAATATTTTCATGATGACCCATCGAAGTTCGAACAAAGGTTACACCGCAACAGTGGAGTGTGTCAAGAGAAACACAAAGAACGCAAGTGATGGACACACACACTCGCACGGGTGGAGAGGAAGGCAGAGAGATGCACACAGCCGTTCGCGCGGACATAGGATCTAGCCTAGGCCTAGGGCAAAGCTACACACGATCAATTTTTTAAAAAAAAGAGAGTCGGGGAAATGAGAAAGGGAGGCTGGCTGCGATTTCACCTTTGACCCTCGCTACCCATTAATCCTGATTGTGTATCACGCGCGAGGTGGGATGAAGGCGGTGGTATGAGTGGGACAGCGGGCAGTGGTACGCACAGGCAGTGTGTTACAGTAGGCCTAGTGTGCTGTATCGTGACGGCCGTCTAAATTAAGTTTTCATTTCCCATTCGACCACAAAACAAACAAAAAAACAAGCGAACAAAAACTACCATGGCGGGTGTCTAAATAACAGTGCACACTTTTGTGGGACCGCTATAGGCCTACTTACAAAAACTAAGGAAAATAGCACGGGGAATTTTCTACATGAAAATCTTTGGATTATGTCTACTTCGCACTTAAGCACGCTTCGGCTTTAAGCACGCTTAAGCTTTCTCCCGATGACCGTGCTTAAAGCCGGCATGGACTGTATATAGATGTCTTCTTGCTCAAAGAAACAAGACTAGATCTAGTCTTGTAAAGCGGTTCTATTATTTCAGTTTTCATTTTCTTCAACGGGTAGAAAGATCTTCCTATGAGGCTAGAAATTACAGGCCAAATTATATAATATATGGGGGAAGAGGAACACCATGGAAAACAGTTATGCTGGGGTCATGCAAGAAAAACAAAGTTGGCAAGCTCACGTTTAACACGTATACTGTTAGAAGAAAAAAAAAAGAAAAGAAAAAAGACTGGCGATTTTGATTGGCTTTGGCATTGTATTCCCACCAAAATTCTGTTTTCTGTTTGTGTTACTTAAGCTGATATATAATTGAATGAATTAAAAGATTTTGATTTCTCTTAAAAACAAAACTTACAAAGGCCAACTAGCGTGATCCATAGTGTCTTGTAATCTATGCCAATACTTTTAAAAAGTTGGCCCATTAAAATGTCTTAGTGTTCTTCTGGAAACACGTCTCAGGTAAGATTGAAGATCATAATCTGCAGGTTATTCAACAAGGAAATCTTGAGGTTAATGCACCAAAGACCGTGTATACTGTATACCAAGATGTTTCAATTAATTGCCCTATCTCGCGTACGCGAGACTTGGGCGCTTCCTTGTGCTGGCGCGTGACGCCCCGTGTTACGAGCGTAAACAAACGTTCCAGCGCTCTTGAGTTGAACGCGTGCAATTTTGTCTGCGGGCAGGGAGAGAGAGA